AACGATCGGGTTAATTTTCACTTCATCTTAAAATGATGCTTTACGTCTCTTATTTTAGTGTTCGGGAGTTTAGGATTCCAAAACATTACAATTTTGTATTCAAATATCGAAAGTTAATTTGAATTTTCAAGCCGTAATCTTAAATTGAGAGATTAAGGTTTGTGAGACTGAAAATGATTTTCGACGTTGTTTTAGACTATTAGCGACCCGAGGGATAACCACGTTACAACTTGGCCGGAGTTTAGTCCCAAACCATCAAACTACTATTAGCTAAATGCTGCAAATGGAGTAAAAAGCGTCCGGCTATATTAGACTTCCACTGGGACGTTAATTAACCTTGAATTCTTTCACAACGTTTACATAAAAATCTCAGGTTTTGGAGCAATTATTTTCGAATGAACGAGCAGACTCTGAAGGCCTATTATCTATCCTAAGTAGCTTAAACTGTTGTAAAATGTTAAATAATTAATTATAAACAAACAGAAATTTACGACTAAATTTTGGAATTTCTCCATAATGATCTGCGGGGTGCCGCTCATAGCTATAGACCCTATAAGCCCTCTAAGCTCTTTGAGTAAGATTTTTGAGAAAATTTTACTTATCCGACTGGAAAAACACATCTCAACAAACGGAATCATGAAGGAAGTTCTATTTGGATTCAGGCCGGGACTGGACACTGTATCGCAGCTTTCAAGAGTGGTGGATCATGTAACAGCAAATTTTAAGGCAAAAAAGCATACCTGGAAAAGGCCTTCGACATGGTGTGGCAGGAAGGAATTGTATACCAAAACAATTTCCCCTCTTACCTGGTCAAAAGTATCCATTCATATCTTAACAACAGATTTTTCCGGGTTTCACTGAACAACTCCCTTTCACCTAAATTCAAAATAGCTGTAGGTGTTCCACAGGGTTTGATCCTTGGACCTAACTTATTTACACTCTCTTTAAACGCCATGCCGAAAATAAAAAAAACTACCATCTTGCATTATACGCTGACGACATGACCCTCTATTGCTCATCATGGAGAGACTATGCACCATCGCAAAAAGATTAAATCTTGAGCTTGCAAAAATTAGCCGTTTTTTGTTAGATGGAAGCCCAAGATAAATACATCTAAGACCGGAGCAATTTTCTTTACTAGGCGTGGACCGTTGCTCACACATAGGATCTCTTTTGGGAGTGTTTTAGTAAATTGGGTGGACAAAGTTGTTTATCCTGGGACTGACACTAGACAGGAAACTCAATTTTGGTAAGCACATCGAAGGGCTAGTCGTTAAGGGACGACATTATTTTCTCTTTTATCTAGAGAATCGCTTCTCAGCATGGGGAACAAAACTCTAATTTTTAAAGACATCGTAAGACCCATGTTGTTGTACGCCTGCCCTACATGGAGGCGCCCTACACTTGCGATACAAATATCAATAAACGTCGTCATACAAAACAAATTCCTAAGACTTGCCACTTCATCTCCGAGATACACAAGGCTTACCCAAATCCATACGCAAACTGGCATAAAATGGATTCCCGACGTCATAGTCGTGAGGACGAAACAATTTTTTGCACGTCTCTCTATGAGCCGAAATGCAATCTGCAGATCGGTAGGGAGATATACAACAGTTTCGTGGAAACTTAGGAGAATAAAGCATAATATAATGTAAAGACAATGATAAACCATGTAACTTCTACCTATGGAAAATATCTGACTTCTTAATGATACAACCTGTGCTATTTCTATTTTTCCATTGTTTTAGAGCCATGTTTATTTATTTAGTTATTTTTATTTTTTATTATTTTATATTTTTATTGTTGTTTATGCTTTACATTTGATGGTTTTGTTATTTTTACTTAATGTACTTGTTATTCTTTTTTAGATATTTTGGTTCATAGTTGACATCTATTATTATTTATTATTTAGAGAACACTACTAAATTCCCATAAAATTGGTCTAATTGCCAAATATGAGTCAACTTAGATGATTAAAGGTTTTTTTGTCAATTTTTCCCCACTAAATGAATCCTATTTTTTTTACAATATATATCTAAAGTATTTAAAATTTTAGGTGATTGCTTTAGGATGTATAGAGCCCTGCTACTTTCCCCCTAAATTATAAATTTATATAGTACCTATATCCTATGTAATTTGTGAATAAATATATTACTTACTGCGGGGTGACGAACCTGCGGTTCGGTCGGTTCCAATTTTTTTATATTACTATTCTCACTTTTATCGCCTCTCCATTTTCTGTATTGAGATCGATTAAATTCCCCGCGAAAGATAAGTTATTAATGGTTATGTTTATATTAATCTATAACCTTTAAGTTAGGAAGTGATATATTACTAATAAAAATTTATCTTTGCCATGGAGCAAAGTTTATACACGTAACAGAGTTTGTTTTTCAAAATTATGCTCTGATTGTTTTAAAACCTATTGTTACGCTAGCACAAAATTTTCTAATCAGTTCTTCTTAATAATTAAGGATTAAGGGGATAGATTCAAAATTGAAAGCTGCGAGTTTGTAATGAGGGGAAGAATTTGTTGAAAAGTTCGGAGGTGGTCAAGTATCCTCGCCCCAGTTTCTCCCCTAACTCTGTCAAGAACCCTGGGCTTTTAATAAACGTATTTATCGAGCAGTTCTACAAGTTAAGTTCAACAAAGTTTCCATTGACCTTAGATTATTCTGAAGAAGTTACATGGATTCCATTTATAAGTGTACTATTTTAAGTTCAGCCTCGATCTGAGAATTCGGCTTTAATTATTTCCCACCTAAAAATAACCTCCCTTAAACATAAATATATATATTTTTTAAAATATTTTTTCCTTTACTTACTATTTTATAATTATTCAGAAATCGTGAGATGCGGTCTGGTGTGATGTAGGTTTCAGAAAAACGTTTTCTTTATCGTGCCAACGTTTCGATCTTTATTGAGATCATCTTTAGGGCCTGGGATTTACAAACATTGTTTACATTTAACACGTGTTATATGTTATAAATACCGTAAGAGTTGTTTGATTAAACAATAAATTTTTATTAATGGAGATTGAGAAAATGAAAACAATATTCAGTCTATGTCGAAGTCAAATTTCAAAGGCTCCAAATCCTAATTTCTAAAATTTTCTCATTTGGTCGTTTTATTTCTCCAAGTAAATATTTGATTTATCAATTCATCTCAATTTAAATTACCCACAAAATTATTTCTTAGCATGCCGCACCATTTTTGCATATCAACTATCATTAGTACTAAGTAAGGCCTCTAAATACGAAGTTGAGCAGGAGCAAAATTTGTGCCAGATGACAATGATCCAAAAGCAGAAAACGTCTCCTCCTTTCAGCTTGGGACTTTTGTCACGTGTTTCTTACCTTTTCCAAATGATTGTTGTTTCATTTGTAGAAAGCATCTGTTCGAAGGGAACGTGCTTTACTGTTTTGCATTACCTCCGAATATTTAAACATAAAATTAAAGTAAATCATAAAAAATAAATATTTATAAAATAAGAGGTTTTTAATTTTCACTATGGTAAATTCCTCTAGAAATTATCTTCGGTTTTAAATTGATCAAAAGCATTCGAATTCCTTTACAACGAAATATTTCTTTATTCGTGCTTTCATTGGTTCATTTCATTTTGATTCTCACTTAGTGACAGATAAATAACCGGCATGTCTCAATAGAAGCAGAAAAAATTACTGATCTCACATACTATCCAATTGTCCTGCAAAATTTCAATTTTTTTTTTTCAATTGTTCCGTTTTCACTCCCCTAGATCTAAACGTTTAGGTAGTCGAGTCTTAAGACAGACAGGTCGAAGGTTACGGTAAGTTTACTGGTAATCTGTCTCCAGTCCTGTCGTTAATTTAAAAAGAGAAATTATTGGATTACTTCTTATGAACCTGGTTGTAAGTTCCACTAGCTTAGGTATTTTACATAATATTTTTCGAACATGTAACTGTTCAAAAATTGTATTTTTCGTCGGTTCATTAATTTGGAATTACCGTATTGATGTTATTCAAAAATTATTCGAAGGTGCTGAATGGTTTTGGTTTAATCATACCTTGTTTCTCTGTAAACCTGGCTTCAGTAGGAATATTTTTTTTATCAAAAATGATTATTATTGACCATTTCTAGAAATTGAGTTTGTTTTTCAGTGCAGAGTGTCAAGCGTCAATTTTTATGAATTCTATGGTTAGTACTTTTGACTGTAGATCGTCAAATTTTGGATAAATTAATAATTTACTTAGGTAAAATAAATATATTAAGTGAACGATTGTATAAAACAAAACTGTATGCTTCTTCCAACTTTTACAGAACATTATTCTTTGAGAATTTGTAATCAATTTTAGACTAAAATAGATATACGTTTTTAATAAAAGGCGATCAACGATCAATAGTAATACCCGATAATGTATANATAATTCAGAGATCAGTGTCTCAGTAATAGAAAATAATTTAATAACATACTTAGTTTTCCATTAAGTCTTTTTAGGTTGTTTTAAACAAAATTTGCATCAGACACTAAAACGATCCATAAAACAAATCAAACGGACGATATGATTACTTTAGGCTTAATATCTCCAGTTTTAGAAATTGTTTGACTTTTCGAAATTTAAACATTACGATATTTGAAAATGGCAAAAAGAGGGAAAATTCGAACGGTTGTAGGTTGAGATAGAGAGTTGGTGTCCGAGAGGATCGAAGTTACGATAGCTCAAGTGGTAGAGCAGCGGCGTATTGAGCCGAAGATCGTGGGTTCGAATCCCGCTCGTGGTACTGACTTTTTATCTCAACCAAGACTTTACATAGAAACAATAATTAATTGAAGGAAGTAACTTGGTCAATTGACCACTAAAACGTCAATGGTTTATTTAACATTTGTTAATTATTATAAAATTGTGATAATCTCATTCTAATAGCTCGTTTTGTTTAACGGGCCAGCTTCTATTAGTCTTCACAATTAGTATTTTGTGCGTTACGTATTTATTTATATTATTCATGTTTTGTTTCAGGTCGGTGGTGAGCCTGGGAGATGTTGTTGCGAAAAGGAAGCAGCACATCAGCGAGTTGGAAGCGTGGGCCTTGCTCTGTCAAGCAGTCCAAGCTCTACAGGATCTTTTCCTTAACGGTGAGTGTTAAATAATTTTTCATAATTTTAAACTAACTCAAATGAACGAATTACTCTCCTACGTAAAACATACGGGGATCGATGGAGAATCCTTCGGCTTGGAGCGGTATGAATGTTCTCCTGAGAAATTCTCCCGAATATTTTCCTCGCCTTCCATAATTCCTCCTTGTCCATTAAAATGCCGGCTGGGCATTATCGGCCCGTTTGGATCGAAAATGTATTAAACCTGCTGAAAGGTTTTTTTTTGCTCCGTTTAGACTAAGAGGATATGGATTTTATAAGGTTTATTGTAATTATTTTGAATTATCCATATAAAAACAAAGAGGATAAAGTCGTTGTAATAAGCTTAACCGCCCAACGTTTTTTGTTACATGGACCCATTTATACAAAGAAAAATTATTTATAAAATATTGATTGGATTGGGAAGTTTTGATGAAAAATGCTAATAAATAACCGTAAAATTTGAAGATCATATATAGGATATTAAAATTTTAGGGTTATTTCGTGGTCTTTTTTCAAAAAACTTTCTATTTGAATCAACATTTTGTAAATAATTTTTAATTATTGTTAAGTCAGCTAGCAACGGATCTTTAAAAGTATAGATTATTAATATGAAAAGTTCGAATAAAAATGTATTACATAGGTAATGGAATTACAAAATATTAACAGAAACTTAGACAATTCTATGCAGCGCGCTAATTTGCTAGAAAATGATATAAATCAATTTTGAGGTTACATGTTAAGGATAAGTTAAAGAAAAAACACTTTTCAATTTAGGTAAACATATACAATATTAAAAAGAAGATTATTTGAAGATCTTGAGATGTGGTCGGGTGTGAAGTAGGTTTAGAAAAACATTTTATTTCTCTGCGAACGTTTCGACCTTTATTGAGATCATCTTCAGATTAATAATGATCGAAACGTTGGTACGATAAAAAAATGTTTTTCTAAACCAACGCCACACCAGACCGGAATAATTAACGGTCACTAAATACCACACATTAAAAACAAGAGCGCAGAAAATACCCATTAGTAGTAGTCCTCCAGTGATCTTAAAATTTTGTCTGATTAATAAATACTTTTTTCAGTATCTTTTTCACTCTCATCACCTTCCTGGGCGATCTCGTGTCCATCGTGTCTCCAGTCGGCGAGGAGGGTTTGAGGGAATTCTTCGGGATACGAAGTTTCTGTTGAGCAGTTTTACAGTTGGGTTGGGTTTTGTGAAATTTTCGGTAACGAGAATGGATTTCATTTTGAACGAAAGTAATATTTAAGCCTGTATGTGCTCTAACTCGAAAAACAACCTTTTGTTTTCGAGAGGTAGATCAACATTATTAGAAATGTGTGGTGATTAGTGACCGTTAATCGATAATTATTCAGAAATCGTGAGATGAGGTCTGGCATAAGGTAGGTTTTAGAAAAACATTTTCTTTATCGTGCCAACGTTTCGATCTTTATTGAGATCATCTTCAGGGCTCAATAAAGATCGAAACGGCACGATAAAGAAAATGTTTTTCTGAAATCTATCACACCAGACCGCATCTCACAATTTCTGTATAATTATTAGAAATGTTGGTGGCTGGGCAAAATAAGAATTTTAGTTGTTTAGTGAGGTAACGTGATTTATGCTAAATAGCCATGATATGTTATGTCCAGGGTAGCTTTTCATCGAGTATTTAATCGATGTTCTTCTCTTTGTCATCTTGAAGAATGACTACGTTTAAAAAATGATTTAAAGGAACAAGTGGTGGAACCTGCTTTTCATGAATTTTGAAAATATTGGGAATACATTCTAAACAATCAATTAAACATACAGGGTGTATCAACTTCCATAGTCCACCCATTTAATTCGAAAACGAAAACTTTAGCAAAAAATGAACTTATTCAAACCCCAAGTTAATTTTGGCTAGGAATCCCGTGGTAGTAAAAGATTTAACGTTCTCATCTAGTTGGGAAATTACACTAACTTTAATATTTTAATTGAGAATCACACATTATTATTATACCATTCGATTGTAGATTTTATTTTACGGCACTACACGGAAAATTTTGATAGGTTCTACCATTTCTGAGTTATGCCCAACGGAAGACGCGTGAGGGGGTACGCTTTTTGTAACAATAAGATGGCCCTCATCGTTTATATTAAAACAATTAGCATTAGCAGGTTAATTTAGGTTAGGAATCGTCTCAGAAAAGAGTAGGGATCATGGGGGTGCTTTTACGCATACCTTATAATAATAAAAAAAAACGAATTTTTTATCATCATCGAGTCCATTTTATTTTTCAAATGACTGTCAGCTGTACATTTTTATTGTACACTTCGATCCTAGAGTTTAACCCACTTTTACTGTTAGGAAAATTTTGATTGGATCGACCATTTTGCTTTTTGTAACAACAAGATGGCCCACGCCATTTAATTCGGAAATGATTAACTTTCGCAAAAAACGGTCTTATATAAATATACCCCAATTTAATTTTGGTTACGAATCGCATGGTGGTAACAATTTAACAAAACTTTCTCATCTAGCTGGAAATGTCATCAGGTTTGTTATTTGAAATAAGAATCCCTTATTTTATTGTATAATTCCATTCTAGAGCTTATTTTATGCCACTTGTACTGAAAGGAAAATTTTGATATGATCGACCATTTTTGAGTTATGCCCGATTTCTTTTTTCTTTTGCACACAAAATATATATTCTCATTTGTTTTGACATTTTTTTCTTGAAAAAAAAAGAAAGAAAAAAAGGCATTACTCAGAAATATTCGATCCTACCAAAATTCTCCTTTCAGTAAAAGTAGCATAAAATAATCTCTAGACTCGAATTATACAAAAAATATAGGATTCTCATTTAACATAACAAAGTGTGTGTCATTTCCCAGCTAGATGAGAAAGCTATGTTAAATCTGATACTACCACAAGATTCCTAGCCAAAATTAACTAGGGATTTTATAAGAGCATTTTTTGCTAAAGTTAACCGTTTCCTAAATAAATGGGTCAATTATTGAAGTTGATACACCTTGTATACTATGATTGATCAAAAACATATTTTTATAATGAAACATACTAGTTTTAATAATCAACAGGCCAAGTCCCAAGATCTGAGTGGTTAACTGATTAATTTACGTTTTTGGGCGCAGTGATTTAAATTGTGTAGAGTAGATTCATGGTCTGGAGGAATGTTGCAGACAAATGTTAACCATTTGGCGTTGGCTTTTTCCCGAGGGTTCGTGGCCTGACAGATCCTCCGGACAAACAGACCGTTTTATACCTTGACGTCCGACCCTTTGGGGGATTGCGTGCTCCAGGAGAACGCTACAAATGCCAGGCATATGTCTTACGGCGTCGGGAAACAATCCCGGCAATTCTGCCCCGACTAAATCTCTTATTAAACAACGTGCATACCTGGCTGACTGTTCAGCACTCCGGAATGCCAACTGGGCGTCAAACAGAAAACCAGTCTCTGCATTTATTCACCGACGAGATAGCTGCCCTAGTTGGATTCCTGATCAAAAGTCACGCTAATCCCTTCCGTCGCAATCTAATTAAATCTAGAACATACCAGCGATCAAAAATTTTCGTAAAACACCCGTTCTACTATTGAACGTTTTATCTTTCTAGTCTTTCATAAAAATGAAAGTTTCCAAATGTTTTTAGCACTCGGTTTTCATATCAAAATTTAATTTGTTGCTATTGCCTTTCTCTAATTTGTTCCTCTCAGGACAGAAAATGTATTAAAGGCCAAATCCAATATTGTCTTTATTTTTTATATAAGGTATTGGTTGAAAATGAAAACGTTAGTGTAACAAGCGTGATTCGAACCAACGACCTTCGGCTAAATACGCCGTTGCTCTATCACTTGACTTAGATCCACTCGGACACCAACTTCCCATCTCAACCTACCTTTCAAATTTTCCCTCCTTTTTGTAGTCCCTCCGAGTGGATCGAAGTCGCAATAGCTCAATGGTTTGAGCAGCGGCGTATTGAGCCGAAGTTCGTATGTTCGAATCCCGCTCGTGACACTAACTTTTTCATTTTCAACCAATACCTTACATAAGGATTAATTAATTGAAAGTTGTTATTTGATCAACCGGACCACGAAATATAATGGATTGTCTTTATTCATTTTCCACAACGTTTCATGGACTTTAAGACATTAATTTTTTTAAAATAATTTCTTTATTGATTGTCCATGTATTTATAACATGTTATTCGAACTTGTTAGGTTATTTATGTAATTAAAACGTTGAGATAATACACAATACGGACTTTATTTTATATGTGAAAAAATATAAGATATATATGTGTACATAGATACTTTTTAACAATTATAAAAAAGAAAAATATAGTAATACTTAAAAAACAGAATTATATATTTTGTATAGATTACTTAAATAATACAGATAATGAAAGTACGTAACAAATCAATAAAATAATAGAACAATGAATTTTATGTTGAATTTCAGTGCATAATTCTGACAGGTAAGTTTTTCTGATTGTACTTTCGTCTGGGATGAATCGACACTGTACTTTTCTACAAATTCTATCAGGTGTAGTTTTAATATAAAGAAGAAAGGTTTGTTTGTTCTCACAAAAACACGAAATAAATTTAATGTAAAAGTTGATAGGAAATAATAAGCAATCTTTAGTAAGTCTTTAGTAAGACGGCTTACTTTTCCATTTACCAATACTTACTAGGACGAAACTTAACTTTACGCTGGCATTTCCCTCCTTTATTTTCACGTTATTGTCATTGAAGAGTTTATGGGAGAAATATAAATAAACATAGGAGTACTACGGCCAGGTAAATGTGTTTAACGATAGTACAACAGGAAGAATAGGCTATTGCTCTTCGTCTGTCGATCAGTTCTTTTTGCTGCAGACAACTAACATTGGCAGGGCGAGATTGGTTCAAACCGTGAGTTTACAATACTTCGGAATATAGAAACATTAATTGTTATTACTCCCTTTGTTTTTACCGAATAGGTTCTTGATGTTTGC